GAGGCGGGAGGATCACCTGAGGTCGGGAATTCGAAACTAGCCTGGCTAACATGGAGAAACCCTGTCTCTACTAAAAATACAAAATTAGCCAGACATGGTGGTGCATGCCTGTAATTCCAGCTACTTGGGAGGCTGAGGCAGGAGAATTGCTTGAATGTGGGAGGTGTAGGTTGTGGTGAACTCAGATTGTGTCATTACACTCCAGCCTGGGCAACAAGATGAAACTGTGTCTCAAAAAAAAAAAAAAAAAAAAGAGTTAAACTAGCTACTTTGTGATGCGTGTTATGGGACAGATTCAAAGTTAAGGGCTTGTTTCCTCATAATTGTGGAAAATAGTTCATTGTTTGTAGAAATAGGTATAAAGTCTTGATAGGCGCCTTTCAAAAATTAAAAGATACACAACAAGAAAAATCTTTAATGTTTATAGTGGAGGATCGTTATAATTGACTTCATATATTTTTTTCCATGTTTAAGAAAATTGACTCATGTTTTCCTATATGTTTCTTCCTGATTTTCCTATAAAGGGAGCTTTGTGTAGAATGAGAAAGATTGGATAATGATAGTATATCCAACAGTCTTCTCTAATTGTACTGCTTTTGGCCAAAGAAAGTTTGTCATTTATTGCTCCATAACAAAGTATAGCAAATTTAGCAGCTTAAAACTTCACATTTATTTTCTCACATTGTTTCTGAGGGTCAGGATTCTGGGAGTTGCTTAGCTGGCTCAGGTTCTTTTGTGAAATTGTAGTCAAGATATAGACTGGGGCTGAAGAATTTGCTTGGTAGCTCACTCACGGGGCTGCTGGCAGGAGGCTTCACTTCTTTGCCAGGAGATCCTCTCCATGGGCTTGTTCATGTCATGGCGCGGCTTCTTCCAGAGTGAGTGATCTAAGAGTGAGAGAGCATGCCCAAGAGAGAAGCCACAGGCAGTGTGTTTTATAACTTAACATCAGAAGGTGACGTATTATCATCTTTACCTTATTCTGTAGGTTACATATTCTGCTGCTACAGTGTGGGAGGGGCCTACATAGGGTGTACACCCTACCACATAGGGTGTGAATACCAGGAAGCAAGTGTCATTGGGGCCATCTTAGAGGCTGGCTACCATAGCAGACAAGTTGGATTTCAGCAATTAGCTGCCATTGGTAGGATTATTTGTTTCATTTTCTGTTATCCGAATCCTCTTCCTTTTTCTTAGCTGGAGATGTGTGGCTTTTCATGTTGTAATAACTCTAAACATAAAGTATCAGAAACAAATTTATACATGAATAGTATGCTATGGAACAGTAAAATAAAGTATTAATGCAATAAAACAAATGTAAGAGTGAGGCCCGGGCATGGTGGCTTATGCCTGTAATCCTAGCACTATGGGAGGCTGAGGCAGGTAGATCATTTGAGGTCACTAGTTTGAGACTAGCCTAGTCAACATGGTGAAACCATGTCTCTATTAAAAACACAAAAATTAGCCAGCTATGGTGGTGCACGCACCTGTAATCCCAGCTACTCAGGAGGCTGAGATAGGAGAATCGTCAGAACCTGGGGGTTGGAGGTTGCAGTGATCTGAGATCGCAACGCTGCACTCCAGTCTGGGCAACAGAGCAAGACTCCATCTTAAAAAAAAGAAAGAAAAAAGAGCCAGGAAGACCAGAATCTGAAAGTTGAAAGCAGTGTTAGAGATCAAGTAATATTTGTGGGCATACTTTATTATAGTGTTTTTTCTCATTATAAAATTTAGAAATGCTTAGATAAAATTAAAATCCCTTTAATCTCTTTATTCTGGTAGGGTGGGTGGCTCAGGCCGCTAATCCCAGCACTTTGGGAGGCCGAGGCAGGAGGATCACTTGAGACCAAGAGTTTGGAGACCCCATCTCTA